TCTAACTAACATTTCTAACTCACTAACAATAGAGGACATTTTTAAGTCTGAAACCCAAAGGAACAAAGGATCTCTTAACACACAGTCTGCCAAAATGAATTAATATCCCTTGTTAGGCTAAGTTATACTTTATTGTCCTCGTAGGGAAATTTGTCCTCTGCATTTGATCCATTCTGCAATGCCACTGGGCGTCTGTCAGGAGCAGTGTAGAACCCGGGAACCCATCTCCAGATGTTGATGCTCGGCGACTGGAGCTGGATTTGACATATGTTTCAGTATAACCCTGTTTCGGACTGAGCTGAAAGCCCAGTAACCTGTGAAATAGTTGCATGACTCTACAGTATTCTGTTGGGCTATTCATTTTAGTTGTAATGGTCTGCACTGGAATAAAGCTGACGTCACTGGTGGGAATGAGCTATTTTAAGACTGCGGTGTGGGGAAGGCCATGGTGTGCTCCTCTCTGCCTGACGTCACTCTAAGATCTGAGTTCGGTGTGCCATGCAGCGGCCGATGACCTTTGCCTGTCGCTGATTAGATTAGAACAAGCTGAACACGATGACTGGCTCACCCAAAACATCGTAAAAGACAGTGTAGTAAAAATGCATGCAATACATTCAGATGCAAGTAGACTAGTGACTGAACTATGTAGATAAACCAGCCAAGACTGAGGTAGCCGGCAGCTTTGTGACCAGCCCTAAGCCGAGGACGGAGGAGGATTAGTGGGCAGGGATTGTGGCGAGCGTGTGGGTGTGTGTGTGGAAGTATTCAACTGCGTGGGAGAGGAGCAAGGCCGATTTGGCAAGTTCTGAACTCGTTTGCACCAACAAAGGAAATGCCTGCATCTGGTATTCATCAGTACAGTAAAAGGCATACTGCACAAAGAAACATTCACAAATCTTATCAAGCACCGTATTGCTGTAAAAAAGTGCCAGGCGTCCTGATAAAACTTGTTTTAGAGTCTCCTTTACACATACTGACCCCAAAGATTTTTTTTTTTTTACAACTAAGTAGTGAATGGGTGGAGGAAAACTCAGATATTTTGTTTCATCAGAACTAATGCAAAAGTAGTCCATTCTGCTGTGCCAAAACCACCTACCCAACCACCCACTCGTCCGGCCTTAAGTTCCTCCTATCTCTATTTGATACACTGCACAATGGTATCCATAACCTTTGCCGGACAGCCTTCCCTCGGGCTCTGTGCCGTGGGATGTCAAACTGACTAATAAACAAACACTGAGCTAACACCTCCCAGTTTGGCCGAGTTTCACAGCTGAAAGGTCCTTATCGTTCCTCGCGTATGTCCTGTGGGTGGATTTCATTATCTTATCTAGCACATCCTATTCTGTTCTATTGTAAGCCTTTTTAGCGTAAAATACAAACATAATCATGTTTTGGGAGTTCTGCATTGACTGTGTTCCTGACAGGAGTCGTCTGAGGAAGGGAGAAGTACTTTGTGCTGCTGCAACGAGTAGTGCCGCGTCACGACTCCAGAGAAACTGTGAACAAGACAAATGGTCACCCGGACGAGGGCAGAAAATAGAGGCTAGTGTGAAGTATCTTGTTACAAACGTGATATTCTGGCCCACAAAAGTACATTGCATTCTCACAACAATGACTAATGTCATTGCTACTACAATAGTTTGTATCCAGATCATCTCAAGTGTCAGACTGATTTATTACATGGTAAAGGTATGAAAGGTATAATAATGAAAGGTATAAAAAGTATGAAAGGTATAATAATGAAAGGTATAAAAAGTATGAAAGGTATAATAATGAAAGGTATAAAAAGTATGAAAGGTATAATAATGTTAATAGATGTCACATTTAATTGACTGATCCTTTGCCTCACTGTGTGTATCATCTACTGTACCTTCCATTAGAGAAATGTTGACAAAGTACAACACATCATGCCACAAATATGAAGCTGCTTGTTTCCGCAACGCATGGACACGCATGCATGACACACACACACACACACACACACACACATGCACACTCTGAGTGAGACTATAGAACAAGCTTGTGAAAGGGCTGCGCCCAGTTAGAGCTACAAGTTTAGTAATATTTGAAAAATGTGTTAAACGTTGCAAACTTCAATATTAATCCTTCTGATGACTGAGGTGAGTTTGACTCAGAGTCAGTGAGAGACGACGACAGGAGCGTGTGTGTTTGAGTGTAGCGCCGCAGGGAACAGAGAAGCACGACCTTGTCACGTTTGAGTTTCATCCTGGGAAGAGGCGACCCAATCATTTTTAATGCATTATTCTATAGTTATAATGGTGAATTGGTTCTCAACTGGTGGGCCAGGACCCAACCGTGGGTCATGGGGTCATTTTGAGTGGGTTGTGAGCCACATGTTTTAAGTATGTTTCTTGTACACTGAAGACCAAGGCTGACGGAGCAGCCATCCTTCTGTGGCCTCACCACCTGCAGGAGGATCAGCCATGAACTGGTGCTGTGAGAAAACCAGAAATGGACTAATAAAGGGGATGCAAATGAAATAATGAATCTACTACTAGAATTCATATACATTTCAATTGGAAATATTGATGTTGATTTAAGTAAGTAATATGAATAAGTATGTAAGTTTAAATTTGTATTTCTAATTTATGTATTCACTGAAAATTAGATTTAATAAAAAGTAAAACTTGCCTCATTTGCAGATTTCTTTTGAATTTGTGGTAGTAGTGCATACACAACAATCATTTATAAAAAGATTATTTATGTACTAAATATTGTTCCTTGTGGCTCGGTGCTATCCACTGTCACTCTCCCAGTGGAGAACCAGTGCTTTTTATGTCTTACAAAAGTTGAAAGTACAAAGTGTTGTAGTTGAGGATCGTGACTCACATCTTTGAGGGTATCAGATCAGACTGTGCTGGGTGTACAAAAGTAGCCACAATCTCTGACTAAATGAAGCTTCGATGTGAGACTTTCCTTTTCTGTCCACTGTCACGTTTCCACACTCTCCGCTCTCATTTCTCGCTGACACTCTTTGTTGGCGCTCCGTCTGCTGCAGAGTGTAAAGTCACACAGATCGAGATGTGTCACCATCGTCTGTGCTGTGAGCCGGAGGGCACCAAACTCATTCAGTAGTACTTCTGAAAAACTTCTACTCTCTTCTTCCGTTTCACAAGATAAAAAGGGGGCAATAAATAAGTACTGGGCTATATCATTAATGTTGTTTTTGTTTTTGAAAGGTAGATTCATTCAAATTCAGGATCCACATTCCTGATATCCAATACCCGATCTATGATATTGGTCTTTCATATGGATATAAGGGTATTCACGGCTGATATCAAGAGGGAATCTCACTACGTCAACTTTAACTTTATAAAACAGCTTAAAAACCAACATTTTATCATCGTTACTGGACATGAAGAAATTGGGTAATGCATCTCTATAATATACTCAAGTACAAAAAAGCTGCTGCCAAAATCTATTTGAGAAAAAGTAAAAGGAGCACATCATCACGACTCAAGAAATCAAGCCCAATTTTAATTCTCAAACTTTAACCATGGTAAATTAACTCTGAGGTTGAAGGATGAAATACAAAATTTGCCAAAGAATATTATTGATTGCAACAAAGGATTTTGAGTACAATACAAGTCTATTGGAAAAAACATATTGTGACAAACTATAATTTATTTAACAATATATGGGCGGATTTTCTTCTTCCGGGTAGATCGGCTTGACTATTGATCCTCCTATTTGTCAATCGTTCTGGTGATATTTGAATATTTTCCCTAAAAATTGGGAAAATCCTGCTATACCTTCAAGTTTTTCCCCATTCTCACTCATTCAATAATAATTAACATGCAATAAAACCATTCACCAGCCTTGAATAAACATTCCCACATAAGTTGCTTTAGTGCATGTCTCACTAAATGATAGTTAGGTTGTAAAAATCAAAAGCTCATTCAGTCACTTATTGCAGTAGTCAGACTCTGCTGCTGAAACATATTGAATTTCCTCCACTTTGCACTAAATGTTGTGTACTCCCACGAGATCTGACTTCATCCACGTCTTCGGTTTGTTTGAATGCAGTTATCCATCAAAAAAACCTCTTTATCTCCTCTGCTCTTTAATCATAAGTGCTTTTCACCTCAGATCTACCTGTTCGTATCATTCATGAAGACACACACTGAGGCACATTGTTACCGACCCAAGGACACTATGTACTCTACGGCAAAAAAAAGGAGGCGTCAGAGATAAAAAAGCATTTGCCCACACAGTATAATAAAGCTAGCTCTTTGGAATAGTTAAGGGGAACTGTAGTTGCACGAAGGATGATTTGTGTTTCATTTTGAAAAGTTGCTCAGTGTTTCTACATATGTGATTATTGATGCCGTACATACTGACATATGCTGATAGTAACTTTTTTTGTATAATTTTGACATCGGCTACATCACATTTTGGAATTCCGCAACATGTACTGGTTAATATGGCCTATCGGGCAAGAGAGTGGTCGACACAAAACTTAAGAAAAGTTCACATGTAAAAGAATATTGTTGTGGAGGACTGGGTTCACTTCAGAGACTCCTCATAACATCCCTGAACTAAAATGTCCTAGTTTTGAAGAGTGGACCATGCGTTCTTTAATGATACAGTTTCTTCAAAAAACATATTTAACCCCAAGCTCACAAACAGGGACCACATTCAAAGTCAAAGCAAAGCAAGTTTATTTGTTTAGCGCAAGTCATACGCAAGGCATGTCAAAGTGCTGAACAAAACAAGATAGGAGCAGTCACACAAGGTAAATCATAAATAATCACAGTACATTCAAAAAGAGAGCTGTTGTATGCACAGCTCAACAAAACTGTTTTTAACTTTTCAGGAAGACTGTTTCAGATTATTTCCATATCCCAAACCTGACAAAGGCACCTCCACATACTGTACATGCATCGCCTTCCGACTATTTGCAAGCAGGTAGAAATGCACTGAACTCAATGACTCCTTGCCATCCCATAAATCTAATGGAAAGGCGGGACACTCCCAGCATGCTCATCTCTGAATCTTTTAGCTCCGCTGCCATCTCTATGTGTCAGCTCCCTGCGGTTTACGCGCCGGGCATATCACTGCGATGGTGCATGAGGTGTGGCCGCTACACTCACTGCCACTTATAGGGCTGAATCAGAGAGGAAATGGTGGCAGTATGAACAACACACTGGCTTCAGGCACGGTTCATTTCTCTCCCCAGGCAGAGGGCGGCCCACTGCTGACTTTGATGGATAGGAATGCTGCTCCTCTCCCACACACGCCCACATACAAACCCACACACTGTCTCCACTAAACAGAAACGCATTGTAGCCTGCACATGATAGCCAGTATGTCCCATCACATCTGATATATCCAATGTGAAATGTGCAGGCCCCACCCACATGGCAGCACTCCCCTGTCAATAAAATCTTTCCCAGAAATGCGTGTGATGCATTACCGTGTGCGCGACAGGACGTGAGAGAAGCTATACCGCATCCTTAATCAAACGCTTATCCATGCGCATCAGGCTGTATACCTCGTGCACTGTGGAGAAAGCGTCGCATTTTAGGTCACGCCATGATAAATGGGAGCATTAACAGTGTTTCTTTTGCTAATCAGATTGTGTAGTGACATTAACACAGATAAAATGAGAGGCTGAGAATACTGTACATGGTGCTACTGTGAATGTAACAGAAATAGATCACGAGCCAGTCCAGCGACAAACATCTTGGACTCTTGCTTGTTCCACAAATAGGATATTTTTATGAAGTGGTGCCAGACAACAAGGTTAAGATTGCACTGCGCTGGATCACAACTTTGTTTGGTTGTGTGGGCAGCAGCATCCCAGGAGTTACAGTCATTCGCCCACAAAACAAAAGGTTGGCAGGCCTACTCCCACTTCCCCGATGCACAGGGCTGTGGTGTGTCCTTAGGCAAAACACTTGCACTGTCTGTTCAAATAGGTGCTGGTTGTCTGTTGGATGATGGTAGTGAGTCCATTTAAAGACTATAATTACTATAATTAGGGAAATGTAGTCAACGTGTTTTTAAAGATATACCTGAAGAATGTTCTACTTCCAGGTGGATCATGAAGACTATTGGTCCTCGTGATTGTCAATCATTCTGGTCATACATGATCGTCAAACAAGACCAGAGAGTTTAAAGGTGGGTGGTTCTATCCTAAAATATTGGAAAATCCTCCCATATACCTTTAAGCCTAAACATAAAACATGGATATACTGTAACTCTGAGTTTGTGCAAGTAATTTTAATTTTGTGTTGTTAAAACTCGCATTGCAACTTTAAAGTATGTATTGAGTGACAAATGATGAGCTTCAATGGAGACTGCTGCAGCTTCCCTTCACAGACGTGTTTTACAGGAAAACCAGCGTGAATAAAATGTTTCATGAGCTCTGTGAACGTGACGGCCTGTTCTCACCTCACAGCCGTATCCAAAAGGCTTAGATTGATCTGATAAACAGTAAGTGATATACTGTGTGTGCGATACGCAGACAGACACGTGCCCATTGAAGTACCTACTCCTATAGTGGGAGTTCAAGTAGACTTTTCAATGTCAACCAGCACCTGAGCTTTAGCGTAATAGCAAGACATATTTTCAGTTCACATTGAGACTGGTCTATAGCAATACAATGATCCATGTCTCCTCCCATTCAAGAATAGTTTATTTTGAGAGAGTATTTTCATGTGCAAAAAGCTATAGTCAAACCCGCCCATTTGCCATTGACATGACACATACAATAACTCAGGGTCATCGGACAATCTGTCAGAGAGATACAGTATACGTGCCACAGACACACATGTACATATACACACACACACAGACATTCCTTGCATTATAGATAGATATGCACAACGCTAAAACACCTTCTCTTTTTTTGTTAATTCGACTTTAACTCTGGAAATTGTGGGGCTGAATTTAGTTTATACACAACTATTGTGGCTCCTTTTGTCAAACCTGCCCTGTAAATGACATTTAATTGGTCATTTAGTTCTTGAAGATCACACTGCTGAACTAGAAAGTCTAATTTGGGCCAACAAGGTTAGAGCGACCTGAGCAGATGTGACAGTGCTGACAAACAGCGAATGGAAGAACTTGACTCCTGCTGTAATTGCATTAATGTACAGTCACTATTGGTCTGAGATTATGTCCTGAACTGTATGTTTTTTTGATAGATATTGTATATATTATTGTTGTATCCAGAAAGAAATTTATCAAACTAGTAGGTCAAATTTTATAGTGAATTGTATCAGTTTCTTACCAACTGGGACTCTGAGTAGCACAGGGACTGCGGCCTCCTGCTGGTCCCAAACATGGAGAGGCTGCATTTCAGATTCATGCTGCTAAAATCTGGAGCAATCTTCCTGAATATGTGAGACAGGCTTCTTGCCAATGCCAACAGCAAATTGTGTGAATGGTGTTATGGTGGCATGAATGAGCATAATTCCCAAGGCATAAACCATCATTTATTGGCACAGTAGTTCATTCTAGTGTGCTACAGTGTGTACTATTTAAAGTCCAAGGAAATTGTATTTGGTGAAAACATACAGTTTCATTTTGCACGCAAGTTTCTGTTTGGTACATTTGAATTACAGTTTGTGTTGTATCTGAGCTCAAGCTGTTTTTGCTGTTTGCACGTCTTGCTGACCTAAATCTGTAAATGTTCTAACTCAGCACATATCATCTGAGTAAAGCCAGATAGAAGTTGTGGAATAAAACAGACCAACTTGTCTTCTTGTTGAATCGCAGTCGGACATAGTGCTAAGTGGCTCTTGTTCTGTCCTCTCTCAGTGTTGCATGAGTCAGTACAGTGTGATAAAGCGCTGGTGGGCCTCTGTGTTCCAGCAGCGAGGACAGAGAGGAGAGTGTCTGCTTAATCAGACAGACAGCCTGCTCCTCCCGAGGCCCAGGGACCAGCAGTCTCCATCTTCACATCTTCAATGACAGGAATCCTCTCTTTGTCCTTGTAAGTCATGTGAGTTATGATCACACACAGCCATTTTATTGTGTAGTATTTTCGTTCAAACTGGGGTAACCTAACATGTTTTCCTTAATCCAAAAGAAAGAGTAAATACCATATAAGGAACATTTTATGAACAGATCAGAACACAACATTCTGTCTTTATCTCAGAAAACATTTTAATGATTACTTGGAAGAAAGAAAACTTTGGGCTGGGAGCTAATTGGCTGAAAGCGTGGACGGACCTTTCTTTTTTGACCTTTCTGTCTGCAAAAAGCTGGTCCACAAATGAGATAGGGGCCACACATGCAAATAACTAGTTAGATACAGATAGATTTTCTTAGTCTAATTTTTTTTGTGGTTTTAAAGATGGGTACTTTAAATATATGCTATTATTTAAGACACATTTTCATAACATACATATCTATTTGGCTATTAAAATGTACTAGGTATTAATTTAATCAAGTAAGCATCCAATACAAAAATGATGCATCGCATTATCAGATTTAGTGAATAATTCCAAAATCGAAATAAAAATTGAAACTTTGAAATGATCATTACAGTATCAAGATAGCATTGATTGAAGATCTATGAAAATAAGATTAGGTCAGTCTTTTTACAATTATGACTACTGTAGCTATATAGCTATATAATATGACAACACTAGGCTCTGTTGGTTCATCCAGACCCTGTAGAATTACGCATCACATTTGCACGTAGATGCAATAAATAAATACATCTATTCCAGTGTAAAAGCTTGCAAGTCTGTCTGCAGGTCAACCACAAATGTCTCTGTTATCAGGTGACGCTCAATAATCGTGGTTCCACAGAAAAATGTGCCAGCAAAGTTTGTGTTTACCTCTGCATGCCCTTGTATCTAAGCAGCATGTTTACCTGAGCGGTTGCCATGGCATTATCCTCTGCCGTCAAATGCAGGCAACACCCCTTTATCACCACAACTTTATTGCACTGCGCTTTGTTAAGGAGGCATAACACTGATAAGTAAAACAAGTGCATAATAATCAACAAACCCGTGGAAATAGCTCTTTATTCTGGGGGCACGTCAGCGTCACGTCGGTTTGCGTAGGCTCATTTCTCACTCCCCTGGGAGCGCAAACGTGGGAGAGATTGCTGTTGCGAGTCAATGCCACCTTAAGTGACACGCTGACATAACAAGAACACTATACTCTCCACCCATATCCGAGAAGTGTGTGTTAAGAGGAGTCTCACCTTCCCTCCCCTCCACACTCTTTATTTGAGACAGAGACGGACGCATCTCTCTGGGGGGACATCACCTCCTCACTGCGCTTGTAGGACCCCTGTGCGTAACCGTGCGCGCGCCGTGCCTTGTCCAGGACGCGCAGACATCTTCAAGGAATAAACGTGTTGGGATTTACCTGGGACTCTCTTTGTGGTTCTAGGTTATTTGCCAAAACTGGGGGAATATTCAGCAAAACAGCAGCCTCTCTTGGGAAGCTTTACAGTTTTCGCCACAATAATTGGTAAGTCTCTACACTAATTACTGGGCATTGTTCGCCCCATATTGGAACTGCTTGGGGCACTCTCGGGTTGTTTGGATAAAGTAGAAGCGCTTGCACCATATTGTGTTGGTGGGTGAGAAAATCGATTGCAGACAGTGAGTCAATGCAGGATCGATAACGGCATGTTGTCGAGTGATTAGACGAGCCACCTTCCATGTAATTTCAGTGGACGTGATTAAGTTAATAAGGCCGGTATCGACTCGCGCAATATGTCATGGGTAGTGTAAATAATGAGCGTGTGGCACTATGACAATGAGGATCAGTGAGAGAAAGACCTGCTATAATAAACTTACTGACAGTATTCTTTGCCTTTAATGATTGTAATAAAACGTTAAAAGTATAATGACACTTTTTGTTCTCACTCAGTTTCACATGTCGTAAAGTTTGACTTGTGAGTCGCTAGATGGCGTCTGTGCACAGCCTTTGCAGAGGTTTTAGTTTGGTCATTGTGTTGTCACTAAACACTAAGAAAGCAACAGTTAAACCTAAGCCTATCAATGTGTGACTTGGTGTTTGTTCAAGAGCATAATTGCATGTTTACGTTTTCCTGCTAATAATGTCTGTTTTACACTCGGAGCGGTAAGATCAGATGCTGAGATGAAGACCAGTGAGAAAGAGCAACACTATTGACAAATAAGGAGTTGTTTTAACAGAAAGTGGGTTAGATGTTGGGGGTGAAGACATCAGTGGTCATTGGAGCTGAGGTAAAGCGTTACTGTGGCATAAGAACAGTGTACATATTGGTATATGCTGTAATTTATTATGAATGGCCTCAACTCGCAGGCTCCACGCGGGTGTGAGTGCTCGCTTCCTATTGGCTGAGGAGTGCAGCGTCCTGGAGGATGGCTCGTGTGATTGGTTGGAGGTGTGGGGGTTATAGGCGTATTTTATCGATGGTGGAAGTGGGATACTTTGTGACAATGTTCATTGTCGATGTCTCATTGGAGCTGCCGTAGGTGCGCAGCGGAGAGCCGCTCACTAAGCCAAGGGAGGCTTAAGCTTACGGACCCTGTATTTCCACGACTTAGGCTTTCAGATGCTCAAAGCTACCAAGAGGACTCTGTATTCTTTTGTCTCTAGACAGCGAATATTTAGTCCACAATATTGTTTTTTCTTGATCTCTTTTCCATATGGTAATACTCCCTGTATGTAGCATTTAGTACTTTTGAAAGCAGCGAAGACAAAAGAGTTGGAAGAGATTATACTAAACCTATATATGACTTTCTGGGAAACTACTCGCATGTTATCGAGCAGAAACAGGACGAGTTGGCTCTTTTATTTCCACTCTCTGGGAGCGAGAGTGCGGAGCGAGGGGGGCCTCTGTGACTGAGAACAGAACAAGGGCCCTTTGCTAAACAACGGATCCTGCTCATCATTCACCTCCGACTCTGCATCTCGTCTCTCCATTCCCCACTCCAGGTTGTCGGATGGACCAGCATCCCAGCGCCCGGAACTGCACCAGTCGCGGAGCTTCGTCCTGCGAGGCCGTCCCGACTGAGCCATCCATGAATCTCTACATCCACTCTACCACCGGCACACGCTTCGAGCTCTCCCTGCCCCAGGAGGAGACTGTGGAAGGACTCAAGAGGAGGCTGTCGCAGCGTCTCAAAGTACCTAAAGAAAGACTCGCTCTGTTACACAAAGAATCGTGAGTATAAGATTTCAACTTGTTTCAATACAGGTTTATATATAAACTTGAGCTATGGGCTATTTCTTAGTATGGGATAATAAGCCTGTCACGTTGCTTTTGTCTTTAAATGCCATGCGCAACGGCAAGACTCGCACAAAATACACTATTACATCTTTGTAGAAAAAGAAAAAAAAACTCCCTCGTATTCCATCCTTTCATTTCCTACGTCAAATGTTACAGGCACCAGGACGCACGTTATTGGAATGGAATTACGCATATGGGGATGCACTGGGATAATATTGACCACGCTATCTGCAGACATTCATTGATTAACTCCTGTCATTGCGAATAACCAAGGCTGATTGAATTGCTAATACTGCTTAAATCAAACAAGTTAAACATTGATGAGCAAACTCACAAGGACCTGGTATAACCTGTCATTTATTTACTTATTTGCAAGATAACATGGGAGGTTTACATTTCACTTGGTCGTGTCAGGTTAGGGATAAGACTAAATGGAATCTCTTTGTCTCCCCAAAAACTGCTATAGTGTCTTCCATGCGTGTGTAAACTATTATCATTTAAGCCTAAGTGAAACAGCATTGGGTGTTTACTCATGAATCAGGCCCAGGTTAATTTCACTTAACAAAATTGCAGGTGGCATTATGCAAAGATTAAGTAAAGGGGGGCTTAGTGCATGCAAACAGCCAGCATTGTTTTTCAGACTATATCCTCGCCTCCTACTCATTGTAATCAGTAAATAAATCAAATCTCCTTCAACCTGAAAGCTCCATTTTAATCCTCCCGGTGCTCTTCGGACAGTCTCACAGAAACCCTGTCTGTGGAGCTCCTTTGTTCAGATGCATGAGGTGAAATTTAGGTCATACTAAACACTGTACTTGGTATTAGACTGTTGGACTGGAAGAAGTCACTGCACCTGAGTGACTCATAGGACAATAGCATTCTCTCCTTCCAAACAACACTTGTGTGTCTATTAGCAGAGCAGCCACTACCATGTTATTATACTTGTGACATGTCCCAGAGTCCCTTTAATGTCTTCCATTTGTCTTTGGAGTGAGATTACCTTGTTCATGTTACAACCAAAATTGATTATCATGTGTGTGTCTACTTCCCAAAATATGACAGAATGTTGTGTTGCATTTTGTCTGCATCGTTCATATCTCCTTCACCTCACATCATCTAGTGTCTATTATGCTGTTGTAATAAAAGTCACTATACAGAAGCAACTCAATTTAGTTGCATTGTTATTCAAATAGTTGATTTGCATTCCTTGTCTGTGTGCATTACTATCTTGCTTGCTAAATTCAATACACCATCAGAAAATAATGGAAGCAGGAATAGTTACCGCTGCTTAGACAAGTGGCAGTGGTCCCAAATCTCCTCTACACGCACTTGTCAAGCTCCACTATACTCCAAATTGAAATATGACAGCCCAATCAATACCTCCCTTTCATGGACCTTTTCACCCACGGCTCTTTCTCCAAACTAGTTTTCTAGTTTTCTCTGCAGTGGCCTTTCTCAGCTCTGGGCGTTTGTGTTTCTCAAGTCAGGAGATATTGTCAGCACACACTAATTATCCTTTTCTCTTCACCCCTAGGCGACTTAGTTCAGGTAAACTCCAGGATCTGGGCATATCTGATGGGAGCAAGTTAACGCTTGTTCCAACAGTCGAAGCAGGATTAATGGTAAGGGCCACGCCACTGTGTTTACAAATATTGCACGCAGATGTAAATGACTTTAGCAGAACGCAACATCGCTAAATTCCTTATGTACTTGTGACTATTTATAACCCTCATCTTTTTCTTTTTACAGTCTCAAGCATCTAGACCCGAACAGTCCGTCATGCAGGCTTTGGAGAGCCTCACCGAAACTCAGGTATGAAATGTTTCCACTTTACACAATGCAAAATGACTCTTTCTCTGCCCTTTGTGCTTTTTTGTTTGCATGGGGGCTTTGGTTGTGGGGGTAGGGGTTGTAACCATGGTGAAAATGCAGCTCTAGATACTACACCAGATGAGATTGTGCGCAAGCCTCTTTACTTCTCTAATCTCGGCCTCTTAAACAAACCAAGCTAAACTGAGTAGTGCGAGCTGGTAGGTTATAATAAGCAGTAACACCCTCTTGTATCCTAGTAACATGCATGTGCGCACAGCTGTGGGAAGCCTGCACTAGAAAGCCGTGGTTGGAAAGACGAGTGCATCGCTGCCCACTGTTCTCTTCCTGCTTTTATCTACAAATCGTTCCCCACCTTTTTGTTTTCATGTTGTAACATACACTCAAACATAGACGCGCACACACACGCATAATACTGCATGGGAAAGTTTCCAGGAAGTCAAGTCTCAAGTCATAAACATAGTGCTTAGATCATGACTTGACAACCCTCACTAATTATTAGCATGAGGGTTACTGGAAGCGTACACACACATTGTTAAAAAAAAAAAAAAGAGAGAAAAAAGTCTATGGCACTTGATGACCTTTGTTGAAGTGCTCTGGATGTTAAGTGCTTTGACTCACAGTGACGTGTCCCTATGTAATGAATGATCAATCGTGAGAATCCAGTGCGATGGAGTGGTAAGCATCATGGGTTTTGGGGTGCAGAGAGGCAGAAAGGCGGTGAGGCGGTGAAGCAGGCTGCACACACACAACTCAGTGACGTAAGAAGCACGCGGCAGCTCAGAGACTGTCAGACACTTCCTCTGTGGCATTGGGCAACGCCACGGAGACGTATCTCGCTGCGCTGCTGTCCGCCTGCTGACGTGGCTACATGGCGAAATCAGATGTTTGCGTGCATTTGTCAAGGATACAGCGTGCATCACCAGAGAACTATGACGCTAACTATAACAAGGGCAGTACGTGTGTTATACAGTAGGTTGTAATCTATATACACAAATGAATGGGAAAATGTCAGTTTTGTCCGGTCATATAGCTACTACTCTATTCAGTGTGTGATTTCTGGCTCAAAGTATATATCTAATAGCTCTGGCAGCAGATAACAGAGACTACGTAGGTGTGAGCAAGTGAACATGTCCTTATTGGTTTAAAACTGGATTTTGTAGTCTGATGTTGTGGGCTGGATGTGAGCCCTACCCATCCTTATGTGGGATGTTTTGCTGAATCCAGTCATGATCATTTCCAAAACATATTTCCTGTCTCTGCCTTCTTCCCACATTTTGCCTCAACTACACTTTGTTATGAGTCAGGCACTTCTCAGCAGAGATTATGGCACCGTTTTTGTCTAATTCATTGTAAATCTTGGTATGTTTTTAAACGCTAAGACCGGCCCGCAAGGCTATTTTTACTGGCTCCTAATATGATTTTTATATATCAATTTTAACTTAGCTGCATTGATGGTAATGGACGACCATGGCATGTTATACATCATCTTTTTTCTCAGACAAACAACCGCATTTAATTTATACTAAAGTTTGAACCTGACACATTATTAGACGTGTATTAAATAATATGTTTAACTTTATATTTGATCCACTTTTGGTTAAATCCAAATCATAAACACATTTCATGACAATTCAAAGGAATGTCAAAATATCTTCATAACGTAAAAAACAATTCTAATTCATTCTGTTGGCCGAACTGGTCTGTTTATATATGCCCACCCATTGATTCCTGCTTTATAATTCATGAGGCAGTCAAATGGAATGATATAGATTGTTGGAGAAGATTACAGATCAACATTAGATTAGAAGAAAGAAAGAAAAAACACAAAAGCTTTTCTTCATTTCCTCTCTCTCTAACTCTGGGGCTATCAGAAATCAATCAATGCACTTAGCTCTTAAAAGTGTCTGACATGAAAGCTGATAGGCACCCTAAAAATAGTTCAGAAGAGCTGTATTGGCTAGCCTCACAATTCTATTCATTCATTATTTGTTTATTATGACAGTGATGATTCATTGATGAACATTACTGTAAATGCACAAGGCATATTGGATTTCTTTGTCCCTGGACTCATCTTTAAAAAAAACTTAACCTACAAGCAATATTCATCAGACACAGCACAATATGATCAAAAAGTCCATCGCATCCATGTGTATTATATCGCAAATCAAATCAACACAAAAAACGTCTTTCGAATCATCTCACATGATTTTTACCACTTATATGATGATATTGGATCATTCCCACGGTGCACGAACAAACATCTCATCTCTCACAACGGCAAAAGGAAATAAACCCAAAGTGCAGACCGGCTTTGATAAAAACAACAAAACAAAATCCAGAGTGAACACAAAAACCAAACAAGGACTTACGACGAGGACTGATAAAATAAAATACATGGAATGACAAATGACGGAACAGGAAGTGAAGGAATACGCAGGGTTTAGATTTACAAGACCTACAGGTGATACACTTTACACAGAGGTAATCAGAAACAGGAAGTACAGCTAAAAAAGACACAGGGGTTCACAAATTACAAAATAAAACAGGCAATAACTGGTTGAAAAACACTGATAAGCTAATAGCTCTCTCAGCTCAAAGCCTTTCCCCTGTCGCCCCGTTCCAATGTCCAGTACTTCAAGATGGCACCGTAGCTAGAAAGCAAACTTGGTTGGTTTCTTGGAACAGTGGACTCAAGTATATCTTCTTACCTACTATTAGAAGTCTAGGGGGAGTGAATAGATTGCAGCCAACCAGTAAAAACACGACAGCTTCTACAGGGCTATGGACCAAGATAGATAGGAAATGTTTTATGGAAATTGAACCTGAGCAATTATCGGAATAGAGGAATATGTTTCAGTTAACAGCCCTCCTAAGGCTCCACGATTTAAATGTGCTGCGGTTTGCAAGTCCAGCGAACCAGGCATAAGCTATAACGACTTTGGGTTTGTCCATGACAGCAAGGACAATCCCAGTCTGCCTTAATTCCTCCTTTGGCATCTTGCTACACTTTTCGCATGACATCTAAGCTGTATTAAGCCAGTGCCTTCTGACAGCTCATCAAAATACAGTTACCCTTGCTTCCTCTCTCTCTCTCTCTCTCTCTCCTCATTCTGTCTACAGAGAGAAGGCATACAGGCACACTACGACTGCATGAAGGGATATATTTAAGAGGATTTGTGATGCTAACGGGGAATGAAAGAGCGTCTGATTCCACTGTAGAATGATTGTACAGTATAGTGCTTGGGGTTTACCGAGGTGAAAACAATGTGAATATGTTTTATTGATAAATATATGGGGTCAAAGGTTTGTTGGCGTTACTATGGATCAAAGCCGTAACGTGACAATGTCTGATATCAAATTGCTTCTCGTTTAGATTTTTTGTTTTACACGGTGTAGCTATAGTGACATTGCCAGTTCATCTATTGATCATATATTTGACAGAAAGCAAAATGGGGTTATTTGCTCATTGATGCACATTGATGTCTGTATAAAAGCTGCACATGCACTTTTAACCTACTAAATCCTTATACCCTTCCCCCATGTAACCACCGCTTTGTTCCGCAGAGGACTAAACCTGCATCCTCTTTTACAATGATTCAGGGTCACACACTTTTAAGTTTTGGCTTACCCCCCTCCTGCAGCCTCCTTTTCAGTCTGCATATAGGCTCCAGATATAGTCAATTGACTGATGCTGCCCTGGTGCATACAGCTTTCAAATCAATGCCTGGCCCAGCTGGAGTGATGCTCAGCAGGCACCACAAAATTGACAACATTTGCCTTGAACACTAACACAGATTGGGAGTATGCGGCTGTGTGCTGCCATTCCCAAATACCCCATAGGAATTGGCCTGTTACATATCTGCTCTACTTTCCGCTATCTGGTTCCTTTCCTCTGTTTTCCCTGAAGCTAACATCGGCATTGCCATTCTGCTGCTGTCCAGATAAAGGCTTTATAGACAGTGGCAGAAAGGGTAGCACAATGGCATCGCTATAGGGAGTCACATCTGGCTTGAGCACGGTTCACTCTCTCCTATAGGTGCTGCTTGCCTGTAAGGTTGTAAAGGTGCTGGGGGGAAGAATGAAGGACAGTTGCACTAAAATGAGGTAAAATTGGACTATAGAGGATGACCCCGGCTCAATGCAAGCGGTCAATACGTCTCTGCTGCCCTGTATCAACCTTATCTACATGTTAGTTAATCAGCCGCATTGACACCAGTGGAAATCATTGGAGACTAATTGTATTGAGGATTTGGGAGTGCACCGAATTGAAAAAATGACTCAAGCCAGTATTGGTCAATATGAATGGATCCTCCCTCACTGTTTCTATAAATCCCCCCTCTCTCCTTCTGAAATAGATGTCTTTTGTATATGCATGGAGCTTAGGAGAGGCTGCATTTGCTCTTTGAATGCAAATTTGCTTTTTGTTACCTAAATGGAAGCTACATACATGAATTTATTGCGTGAATGTGTAAATCAAATTGTGTAAGGAATCAAAGACAATGATGATCTGAAAAGGGCTTTCTTTGTGTGACTAAATCCTCGCCTTGGAAAAAAAAAAAACATTAATAAGGAAGGCCCACAGCTTTCCTGCACCTGTGTAATCCTCTTTGTGCTGCTCTAAATGCACAGAAGAGTGTACTATTATGTGAAGGACATGAAGGTGTGCAGCCAGTGAGAACCACCAGGGATCAACAACTATGCATCCACTTAAATCCTTGTGAGTTTGTTCTTTCAACTGCAGTTGTCTATATTTGAGTCGTGACTATGATTGTGTTTCTTTTTTCAAACCATTCCCCTGTTGACACTGGGGCTTTTGTGATTCAAGTAGCAGGCATCGTGACAAGGAGGGCGACTGAGTGGGAGGGATCGAGGCTAGGAATATATCCAGTCTGATGGCCAACCCCAGGTCTAATGATGATGCCACTGGAGGTCAAACGCCTTACATAGTCTCATTGCTTATTATACCATGATTCAAAAAC